AAAATATAAGGCACTAAACCTTTATTGGGATATCACCATGTGCACAAAGTTACAGCATTACTTAAAACATTCTTTTTAGGAGCTATTTAAATGAGGTATAAGTAAGTCCTTCAGCTAAACAAAGGCCAGGTTTATTCTCTTACTTCATAGCAGTAGCAATGCTACCCATGGTGGGGCAAAAATGTTCTATTAAAACCCATAATTTTAAAGTCTTCTCCCATCTGTTTACCTGCCAGACAGGCTAGAAATTCAGCATTCAGGTACTTTGCTCAGGAATAAATTGCAGCTTCTAATTCACATCCCTCTGACCGCATTTAACCAAAAGTAATTAAGTAAAATGGTACCAAAACACTGTTTCTTTTGTATATTCAATGTATTTTGCCTCAACCAAAAAAATCTGTCATACAGCTCTAGTGTTGAACATCCAATAAGCTTCTGTTTATTCATATGTTTCAATTATAATTTAAACTATTTGTGATGATTTGTGAGGGACAATCTAACTAGGCTTTCAAAGGTAAGAATTAACTAGCATGGTCAAAGTTGATGAAACTGTTTTGTAAACTGAAGAGACTAAGTTTTAAAATACGTATTACCCTGCAATACTCTTTTTCAAAGGCATCATACACAGTATATCTGCAATTTACAGTAGCAGCAAAACTAATGTTTCAAATGCTTCCCTTGCAGTTCTTGTAACAAGCCTTATGCTATCTTTTATTTACTAGCAGCCTTCAGTGATAAGAAAAATCAAGTCTAAACAATACATTTTTATTATTTTTTAAACGCTAGCATTTCTCCAGTAGGTCCCTCTGGTACCTGTAAACTTGCAGCTCTATAGTTTTTGCACTTAGGCCAATTTAAAAGGTGAAGAACTCTACAGTTACAAAAGGGTCTGAATCCAAGACTCACATCTTATTTTAAAGACAATACCTTCTGCCAAACCGCTCCCAAAAAAGCCCTGCATTTCTGTCTCTTTATGGGATCTATTAAGAACTACCCAAATAATAACCAAATCCAAAGTTATTTAAGAAATCTGCCAACATAATTTAAGAAGACATGTCACATCTTCATTCTAATTAGCAGTGGTGGATTCCTTCATGTTGTCATGCTATCTGACATTTCCAAATGAATGTTTTATTACAAATCACCCAATAGATTATTTATTATTTTTTCCCCCTGTTCTTATGTAATTGTAATTCTGAGTTAACTTCAATCAAATTCAACCTATGCAGGATGCTTCCTCCAAGGTCTATGCACAATTCCTGGAAGCAGGTAACCTGGCTGAGATACCCTCATACACTGTGCCCCTCTCTTTGGATTTCTGCATATTAAAAAAAATTTTTTTCTTTCTTTTTTTTAACAAAGTGAGCTGCAACACCTTTTTTAACATCAATATTCAATTTTTGAAGACTTTTTGAATGGTTAAAACGAATCACCCATATTTCAATTCAGATTTTTCTGAGTTATAGAAAGTATAAGGCAGTAGAATGCCAATACTTCATATTACATTTGAATTTTTAAAAAGCTCTTCCTTCTTCCCCAAATAAAGTGTTTAAACAGAAATAAATACTGATTCTCAGACTTGCTCTCATGCCAGTTTTATTCACAATTAATTTGCATGGCTAAATTTGAAATTGTTTATAAAGGAAAACCTTTGAACAGCTACAGCAGAACCTGTTTGAGGACTCAAAGATCACACTGTTAAGCCCAAAGTGAATGCTATCTGGTGTCCATTCAATAACGGTAAAATTCTAAATGCCAACAGAGAGGCTCAGTCATGAAAAGGTAACAAATTTCTCTTAATGTCCAATAACTCAAGAATCATGGTACTCCTTTAATTAAAGAGCTCAAGCTTGTAACTGCTCAGGTCAGTGACAAGATTCTCAGCAGCATCCATGAAGCTTAGACTGAATCTGTACTTTCAAGTATAAATTAACATCATATACTCAGAGTAACATATTATGCTTAACTCCTACTAAGCTCACAATATTTCTAAGATCTCAACTCTACTCTTTAGTCTTTGCTGAGAACAAAAACAAGCCTGCCACTATCTTAAATCTACATTACATTGGAGTTCAGCAGAGAGAACTGACACCCTACTGCACAACTGCTCTGTTTACAGCTTGGGTTCATGCACAAAGTTGAGATAGTAACACTACATATATTCGTAACTTTATTACGTATGTCATGGAATATTTCTTTAATAATTTAGGCAAATATACTCCAGAACCAGCCAGGTTTGAAAAAAAAAACAATACAAAACCAACAGCACTATTAAAATGGAAGAGGTTTAGTAATATAACAGGAGAAACTGCTACTGTATTCTCAAGTGTGGCTTTTTAGTTTTCAGATTCCACACAAGCCAACTGTCTCGTGGCACGCTACATGTGTTGACAGAAGGTTAAGAGCCAGAGTATGTACAACCTGTGTACATGAAGACTGAATTAAATGTCACAAAAATCTTAAGAGCATCTCTGTTGGCAGAGCTATTTTTCAGGCAACAGACGTTAGAAAACCAGTTCAAATAATAAGCTACATTTAGACAGTAATGAAAGTTAAAGCTGAAGTGTACAAAACCACTAAGGGGAACACAGACTACCTGTAAAACACTTCTACATCTATGTGTACAAACTTTTTCAAAAGGGAAGGCAGAATTCTGCTCATGCTTATGTCCTTCTGACAGGTGCGCTTAGTTTCCTGACACTCAAAGTTAAACCTGTGGTTTTCTCTTAGCATGTGACTGTAGAGGGCACTCATGGCCTGAATTTCCAGTAATGCTTTTTGATATCCTGTTTTATTTTCTGACTAGGTGTTCATTCCCTAGAGAGAATTCTCACAGTGTAGCACTAAGTGCAGTAAAATGGCTTTCTAGTTAAAAAAAAATATATAAGCACTTCACCAGTTCTAAAAGAAGGGATTGCAGATGGCATGTGAACCTACCACCATGATGAAGAGCTGGAATCCCTACTTAGACTCAGACCTCCACTACTGTTAAGACCACACGTTTCATTAACCCACAAGTAGCACAGGATGTGTTTTTTGCCAACTTTGTCCTTATCTCTACAGATATTTTTCTCTTAAACTTGGAGACTGCTTCCCACTAACCAAATTTGTTTCTGTTTAAAGGAAAACTGCAATGTGGCAGACAAGCATTGCACCTGATTCCAAAGACAGCTCAAGAGTTCTGATGTCTTAAATGTAATTTAGTATAAAGCAGATGATATGTAGTATGAAATAAAAATAAAGGTCATTGGTCCTCAGGATGGTTATTGCACTCCCACATCTTGCATCGCAGGTAAAATTGGGCCTTGGTGTAATCATCACTAAATCATCATGTTCTTTTGTGAGCTACAATGGGACCTTTTCACTGCAAGCCTCTCCTGGTTAAGGTCATGAGCTCAAATACGGTAGAGCTTAGTGACACAGAAAAGTACCCTAGGGTGGTTCCAGACGTCTGCAATGGAAGCCAGATCTAAAAATACCATGTGGTGCCTTTCTGTGTCACAAGGTACTTTTATGGCTTAAAGAACACAACCTGGGGGATCAATTTTGTGGGCTCAGGGTTTTTTTTAGGGGTGGGGAGGAACCTGTCCCAAAATTCAATTAAACAGTCTTCTTCAACAAGCTTTAAAATCAGACTTTAATTGCCCAAAGAGTAAATATAGTAAATAAAAAGGCAAAAAATTATTAAAGGTATAAGTTTTACTAACTACTAAATTGGTAAAAATAATCTTGGACCTCTATTAAAGTTTACTAGACAATAATAAGACTATGGCTTTCCCAGACTTTCTGATAATAAATAATAACTTCCTTTGTGTGACCTGCTTCCTAACAAAATGTGGGGAAAATGCCAGTTCTCATGGTGAAAGAATCATTCACCATAATCAAGTTGGTTACAATACAGTTACTTCTAAAATCTGCTGCAAAAATCTGCTGCAAATATTTTAAATTAATATAGCAAATGTTTGTTCAGCAACTTCAGAGTAATTATTGCAGTTTTCCTTTAAATATTTTGCCCTATGCAAGCTGGTATTTATCTAAAAAAAAAGTATCTAGTACAAGAAGCAAAAAGGCATGTAACCCCATAAAAATTGGCAAGGCAAAAAGTTTATTTTTATGTGATTTTATTTTGATTGCCATACGATGATGGTTCTATTGTATAATACGCTGCAAGAATAATTTGCACAAAATCCTGTCCACAGCACTTGGGCTAATAAAATAACAAAGACTTAGCAGACAACTCAAAGAATTCATATTTTCTTTGCTAATAAAGAAATAAGAAATAATGAGAAGGCCCCTATAATTTTCTTCCTCCCATCTTAACACGGATATATCAGGAAATTAGAACTACAGAAAGTATAGAACCTTATGGCATAGGGAAATGGTAACAGCTTTGTCTAAAATGTTGAAAATTTAGGTGTGTATATAGCTTGGGCACCTGCATAAACAAATTCGTATTTATGTCCTAAAATAGGTGACCAGCTGCAATCTGCAAGAATTTACAGTAAGGCTGAGTAGGTTTGTCATGCACTGAAACATAGAGCTGAAAGCACAGCCTAAGTGCAATAGTGAACAGGGCCTTACTGTAACACAGGCAAGAGGTATGCCATGTTATCTCTAACACAGCTGCTGAGCTGTGGTCTTAATATATTAAAGCAAAGCTGGCCACTTATCTTAAGAATGTATTTATTAGATTATCACTGTCTAACGGGATTTGACAACACTCCATATAGGCTTACAAAGGAAAAGAGCTGAAAATTCCAGAATTCAAAGATAGTCCTTCCTCCAATTTACTTCTATGCTTTGTTGGTGTGCAGAAGTGCACTGATACCTCAGAACAGATTGTAAAATTTGCCCATGTCTTGTTAACACACTGCAGTCTTCAAATTTACACAGAGCTGCAGTTGTCCTCGTTTTTCTCAAGTGTCACTCATATAATTTAGCATGACAGCTGAGAAACGATGTCAGATGCATTACAGTTCAGTTTAAAAAACATCCTCTACCTGGTATCTCTGCAGTGATTGTCTTGCTGCTCCCTGAAACCTCTTCATCCTCATCTGATGAGCTTGTGCTGGAGTCACACGTCAGGTCACTGTCGCTGGTACTGCTGTCCTGCAGCAGGTTGTACTTCTTGCGAGCAGCTGCCTCCCGCTTCTGTCTTAACAGCCGGATTCTCTCTTTGTGCTTTTGGCTCCGGTGACCTTTTACCTTGGTAACTCGACCGTTCTGCTTATCACTAGACTGTCGGTTTTTCTTGGCAGCCATTATTGAAGTTTCACTTTCGGATCTGGATCGCCTGGATTTCCTCCCAACTGCAGCCCCAGACACCGCAGAAGGGTCTCCCTCCACAGCCGCTTCCGCTTGACAAGGCTCATTCTCTTCTGTGGAAGACAAGGTGTCTGAGTCAGCTAAATGCCCGCTGGAAGAAGGGGAAAGCATGCAATGATTGGAAGAGTCACTCTCATAAACTCGGCCACCCGTTGGCTTGTCACTCTCTGTAGATGCTAGCTGAGATTCTGAGGAGTCTCGCCTCAGTTCCATCAGCAAGCAAGGCATGGAAGAGAGCACCCCAGGGTCTGCTGCAGTGGGCACTGTGTCTCTCCGAGTTTGTGTGTCCAGTTCTATAGGTCCATCTTCATCAGGAACCATCTCTTGCTTTTCAGAAGTCTTTGTTGGAACTTCTGAATCAACAAGTTCCTCTGCTTTTCCCACTCCCTCCATCTTCATTTCAGAACACTGAGGTCCTCCTAGTCTCAAATCATGGAGCACACGGTCAGGAAGAGTGGGTGAAATAGATATGGACTTCAGCAATACAGCAGCCTGCACAAGAACAGAACAGTAAGAAAAAATTACCCAAATATATCACTCAGTCCTGCTCTTCACAGTATTACCTGATCAACTCATTGTTTTCAGCTACAGACAGAAGGGTTCAGTATCATATGGGTTTTCTTAATTTACTTTTCCCAGTGAACTCATCCCATTACACCAAACTATTCCTCCTTACACACACTCATGAAAGGTGGTACTGAAATCACATAAGATGTGGTTCAGCTCCCTAGAATAATCAAAATATATCAGAAAATAAAAACATTTCTAAACTCTTACTGTATAACATGTACTCAATGTAAATCAACTATTACAAGAAACATATTATAAACTTATTTATCTAGATTTTTAAATATCTTTTAATGGATAATTTTAGTCCCTGTGAACAATGCCAGCCTGAAAATTTCCAGACTTGCCAGTCACCCACATAGACAAAGATATAGTTCAGTTTCCATACCTATAAGAAATCTGCTTTCTGTTGAACAGGACCTCAAGCTTATAAAATTACAATGTTTTCATGGTAATTTGCAAATTTACAGTACCAAAATGACATGGAAGAAATCCAGTCCCTTTGAGCAGAAACAGAGTGGCTGCTGAACATGACAGAGAAAGACTACAAACACTTTCCTTTTCCAGGGGAACTGCTTTGCTAGCAGATCTGACATAACAAAGATGTATTTACAAGAAGCACCATGAAGTGATAGTAAATTGTCATGGACACTGAGCTTACAACATCTGCAGGCATGGTCTTTAGAATCATCAGCTGTGTGTAATGCAGATTTATTCACAGCAGAGAACCACCACGCTAGTAAGTTATGTAAAAACAGTTTAGCAGTATCTAACACACCATCCAGATGCTCCTTGAATGTCTCCCATACATGTTCTGGTTGTATGAGAATGCAGAAGCTGACCTTATCTCCAATTTGCCAGAACACAGAATCAAATAGCATGGGCTGCAAGCAAGAAACAGTATCCATCCACACCGTTACCCTACATGTTAAGAGCTATAATTTAATAAATGGCATTGCTTCAGTGCAAACACAAAATAACAAGCTATTTATCCAACTGTACTGTTGCATGATAGCAACCCAAAAGTACCTGAAGCACCTTCAGGGAAGTTTAGTTTTAGAGATCAATATTTATATTATTATTTGTGCTCTGCCATCCACCTAAATTTTCAACTGGATTCAACAGAAAGATCTTTTAATTACCACATTCAGTTACAGACAAATGGTATGGAACAAATAATTTATGTGTTTACAAGTGTAGTAAGTGATAAATTTGCAGCACTTCAAAAAAGTGTAGATAAGAAAGCAATGTTAAGATTTAGTCTACTGTTTTTTTAAAAATGAATTTCTGCAGACAAGGATAATTAATACTTTTGTCAGCCTGAAAAAGCATGGACTGTTGAGAGAGATTTTCCTGCTCCCTGACATTCCCTCTTCAGTTTCCTGATCCACCCCAGGCTGCTTATAACTGCAAGCATTTAATTGTATGCTCCTTCCTTCTTCCTCCATCTGCAGAATGAAATAAGGCTACTTCCCTACTACTAAAAGATGCTGTGAAAAAGTCAGTGTTTGACCTGTCTGTCCCAACCCCTTGTGAAATTTCATTTTAAAAGAATATTAAAATACATTTCATGCTTTCTTCAGGGTAGTACATGAAATGCTCGATAGTGCAAGGGAATTATGAAAATGTTTATGGGAAACACCAGTTAAGAAAGCTTAGTTGATATCAGACAACACAAGACAACAAAGATGGGGATGACAACTCTAGGCCTGCAAAATATGAAAAAAACACAAAATAACCAACAAGCAGCAACACCAAAACCATACAGTAAAAAAAAGCACTTTCCCTCTGGGAAAAAAAAAAAAAAAGAACATGTATTGTAAAACATGTGAACATATGCATAAGAAAAATGTTTGCCAGTACCAGGACTGAGTAAAATTTTCTTGAAAGCAACTTAAAAAAAAAATTTCTGGAGATGGTAATTTAATGTAGTAAGTAAATATAATGGCAAGAACCAATTTATTTCCAAGGCCACAGCACAGCATCAAAAAACCCAAAAGGTGAATAAACATGTTCTGAGACAAACATATCCCAATCCTGTAATAAAAGTAGTATTTCTATACATTTAATCTGAAAATACACATTATTAAATAATTATCCTATTATACAGTAAATAAAATACACTTTGATGATTAAATTACAGACCAAGAGTTATACACAGTGGGGTATGTATTGTTTCTGTTACTGCTGTTTTTGCTGAGACCATACAATTTGAAAAGAGCAGCTCTTTCTAAGAGCTTTGAAATGTACTTTGTTTTCATGCAAGGGAAAACCTACTAGCTCAAACACACACAGGAATCATATTAACCTTGCCAAATGAACCATCTTTAGAAATTAAACTAGTAAGTGTAGAACAGCTTCTGAACTATTAATCTTTTTAGCCTGGGGAGCACAAAGGACAGGGCTTAACACAAAGCTAAAGGGCAGAAAGAGTGAATCAGAGACTTTTCTCCACAAACATCCTACTTGGGAACATATCATAGAGTCACAGAACAGTTTGTGTTGGAAGGGACCTTAAAGATCATCTAGTTCCAACGCCCCTGCATGGGCAGGGACACCTCCCACCAGACCATGTTGCTCCAAACCCCCATCTAACCTGCCCTTCAACACTTCCAGGGACAGAGCACTCTCCCTGACAACTTCCCTGGGGAACCTGTTCCAGTGTCTTCTTTCCTTCCCTTTTTGAAAATGGGGGCTAGGCTTCCCCTTTTCCAGTCAGAGGGAACCTCACCAGTTTGCTATGACTTCTCATATATGATGGAAAGCCGTGTTGCAACTTCATCTGCCAGCTCGCTTAGGAGCCACAGATGGGTCTTGTCAGGACTCATGGACTTGTGCATCTTCAGGTTCTTTGGATGGTCTCAAACCTGCTCTTCTCCTACAGTGGGCAGGTATTCCTTTTCCAAGTCTCTCCCTCTGTCTTCTGTGACCTAGGCAGTGTGGTCAGAGCCCTTACCAGTGAAGAATGAGGCAAAAAAGTTGTTCAGTACCCCAGATATCTCCATATCCTGCATGACAAGGTCTCCTGCTTCCTTCTGCAGAGGGCTCACATTTTCCCTGCTCTGTCTCTGATGACTGATGTACCTGCAGAAATCCTTCTTCTTACCACTGATGTCCCTGGCCAGGTTTAACTCTATCTGGGCTTTAGCTTTCCTAACCTGATCCCTGGGTGCTTGGACAACTTTTCTATTTCTCCCAGGCTACATTCCCTGCTTCCACCCTCAGATGACTTTCTTTTTCTGTCTAAGAATGTCCAGGAGCTCTTTGTTCATCCATGCAGCTCTCCTGACATTCTTGCCCGCCTTCCTCTTTTGTGGGGTGCATTCATTGCTCCTGGGCTTGAAGGAGGTAATCTTTCAATACTGACCAGCTTTCTTGGGCTCCTCTCCCCTGCAGGATTTTATGCCATGATATCTTATCAAGCAGATCCCTGAAGAGGCTGAAATCTGCTCTCCTGGTTGCAAGCTTGCCTTGGACCTTTCTTGTTAACCTACAGATCCTGAATTTCAATATTTCATGGTCACTATAGCCAAGGCTACCCTTAAGCTTCACAATGTCCACCTGGCCACCCTTGTTGGCAAGAACAAGGTCCAGCATAGCACCTTTTCTGGTTGGTTCCTCTATCGTTTGGAGGAGGAAGCTGTCATCAGTGCATTCCAGGAACTTTCTGGATTGCGGGTGCCTTGCTATGTTGTCCCTCCAGCAGACAACACAGCAATTGAGACTCCCCATGAGGATCATGGCCTGTGAACGGGAAGCTGCACCTTTCCGCCTGTAGAGGGCGTCATCCACTCGGTCATCCTCGTCAGGCGGCCTATAGCAGACTTCCACTGTATTATCACCAGCCCGTCTTCCCTTCAACCCTGAGCCATAAGCTCTCTGTCATCCATCCCCAGGTAGAGCTCCATGGACTCCAGCTGATCATTGATGTAGAGGGCAACACCTCCTCCTCTTCTCCCCTGCCTGTCCTTCCTAAAGAGCTTATACTGACGCATTCCCACACTCCAGTCACAGGAGTTGTCCCATCACATTTCTGTGATGCCAATAAGATCATAGCCCTGCAGGTTTGTACATATTTGCAGTTCCTCCTGCTTATTTCCCATGCTCCTTGAATTTGCACAGAGGCATTTAAGCTGTGCCTCCATTGACACTGTCTCATTGCCTGGGATTCTACTATCCTTCATTTTGGGTATTCTGCTGCTGGTTTGTGATCTTTCTTCAAGCTCAGGGCATCTCTTAGTCAAACTGGCTTCAAAGGGGTGGCAGTGGGATGGACTGAGGATCTCCTCTCCCACCAACTCTAGTTTAAAGCCCTCCTTACCAAATTGGCAAGCCTAGCAAGATGCTCACACTCTTCCCTGAAAGATGAACCCCATCTGACCTTAGGAGACCAGGTTTCTCAAAGCAAGTCCCATGGTCTAGGAAGCCAAAGCCCTGGCTGTGACACCACTCCTGTACCCATTTATTGATTTTCCCAATGCAAGTTGCCCTTTCAATCCCATTCTCTTTAAAGAACAAAATCTACCTTACAGGTTCCAAGGGGACTATAAAAACACCTGTACTTGCTTTTCCATCTCACTAGTCTATCAGCCAGAAAAATTCTGTCTCATCCACATGCTGCCACCTTGCTAGCAGTCAAATTCAGTGACTTAGGATTTTTTATTAATAAGTAGGATCTTATTTTAACTACTCAAACCATGCTGGTTTGATCCTTCACACAGGGATCAGCAAATTATATTTTCAGTAATAAGTCAACATATGGACTGCTAACTTCACAAAAGTATATCTGGTTAATGCTGATGTGTCTTTATGTGTGTGTTAAGACAAGACACTTGCTCTGATGAGGTTTGAACTCTCCAGGTCCCTTATCTTGAACTTAAAAAAATCAACAACTCTAGTATTAGTACATATATGAAAAGAAAAAT